CTGTGGGTTTAGCAAGAACTATGTCGGGCACTTCAAATAAAACTGCAAAATCTGAGTTGCGCAGGAAATACTTCCTACCCTTTAGATTAGCAGAGGCCACAGCCCTGGGACGGCCACAGTTTGTGGCGCTCGGCCTGCTTTGTGACTGGGCTCAAACCATCCCTTCTGAGTTCTGCATGTCTTTTCCAGCTTCTTGCTGATTAGAGAGAACTGTGTGTTCTGACTGAGCTGTCTCACATAGAAACTTGAGATGGAGAAATTCAAGTTAGGCTTTGCAAGGAAAAATGTGAAAGGAGAGCGTTGCTGGTTAGTGGAGTCTGGGGTTGGCTAATACAGAAGCAAATGCTGGGAGTGGCAGGAGGCGTAAATGGAGAGTTAAGACTACAGCTCAGGAGATCTGAGTTCAGATCCTCGCTTGGCCATGGAAAAGTCATAGGGATATGTTCATGGTCACGATAAAACAATCACTGAACACCTCTCATACCTCTGAGGGTGCCTCAGGATCCCCTTAAATTGGAAGTGACTTGACAGCACATATTATACATATTCAGAAGCAAGCACAGAGGGATTTTTTTTCAGAGAGCAGGTGAAAAAAACACTCCTTAGCATGGTTAACACTCCTTGCAGTGTTCCGATTCTTCCTCCTTGTCCTGAGAAATGCAACAAAGCTGGGGATCTGGCAACAGCCCTGAGACACAGCTTGGTGTCGTAAAAAAGCAGGATGGAAGAGCCAACTTTCCCAGTGGGGCGAGAGAGAGCGAGGTGTGTGTGTGTGTGTGTGTCTCATGGACTCCTGCAGGGCAGGGCTCTCCACCTCCCATGTCCATCACAGCCCCAGCAAAAGACATTGTGTCTTAAACAGCAGGCATTCCCCCCCCCTTTAGAATCTGGGTCCGACGCCCACCACCCCGCCTGCCCTCTCTCGTGCCATTTTGCTGGGAAACAAAGAAGTGGTCAAGCACTCGCGGCTATGGGTCAGCGACATGTGAATCGGCCCCTTTCAGCAGCAACCCACATCCTCTCCTCCAGAAGGTCAGGCCTGGCTGGGAACAGAGGCTGCCTTTCTGATGGCCTTTTTGGCTCTGCTTGGGGGCTGGGACTGGCCCGGTTCCATTTCGCTCGCTGTGCTATTTCCTTTTTAGGCTTGAAAAACCCAGGCGGAAAGAGAGCAGAGCATCAGTGGCACCGAGTTACAGATACGTTGTTTGGGAGGCCCAAGTATACAGTACACTGTTGGGGAGAGAGGAGGAGGCTGGCGTCACAGCTGTCTGCCAGGCCCTTATAGGGTTGTGGCGCTGTCTACATCTACACAAAGGAGACGGAGCACTCGCCACTCCCGCTAAAGTTGGAGCGTGTTTCCTCTTCTCCCACTGCCCGTCTCTAAATGAGGAAAAGCAGAGTATGGTGATTCCAGGAATTGCATTCCCCCCCCCCAAAAAAGTAACTTTCCCAGGCTCTGTAAGAAAAGTGCTTGTTAGCGCAAGTTGTTGTCTCTTGTGAGTTCACCGTTGTACTTTGAGAGAGTCCAATAAGTCTCTGGGCTGTGCCCCGGATGAGACGTGAACACCCTTCAACTCCTCCTTCTTGGGACAAGGGGTGGTTTTTCTCTCTCTCTCTTTCTCTCTGCTTGCAGGTGGGTTGGTGGGTGCTGAAGATCCAGGGGTACTTAACTGCCTAGTAAAACGTGAGCGACCTGATTCCACAGCTTCTGCCCAAAGAGAGATGCCCAGGTAGAAGGGATGCTTTCAAAACAAATGCTCAGTGGTTCCAGAAGGACCAGCCACGTCAGTTCTGAAAACCGACACAGAGCCTTAATGGCATCTTAAAGGCTAAGGTCTTGGATTGGGCATAAGCCTTTCTGGACCGTGGCCCTCAAAACCTTTTGTTGCTTTTGCTCTGTGAAATGATGAGACCGGATGCCTGGAGCAAAGGCCAAGACTGACGGGCCTTGATTCTCTGGTGATGCGCATCTGTCCTTTCAGCTGCGATGCTGGGAGGACGCCAGGTGGAAGTATTTACTGCGAGCTCTTTTTACGTTACTTCTGTTTACCGTCTCCCTTCCTCTCCTCATTCACCCCATGTAACCCTCCTCTCTTGGGCTCTTACCAGCTTTACGTCCTGACTAGAGTTGAGTAGGTGAAGAAAGGATGATGCTGGTGATGAATCCAATTATTTTAAATGCCTGTATCGCTCAATCAGCTTTCTGTTTGCTTGTTTTTTGCTTGTGTCTCTTAGCTTCTTTGAGTGCTCTTTCTTAGTAAGAAGGCAGGATAAAAATGGGGCGATGATAGTCATGATGTTGGCAACGGCTTTGGCTCCATCCGCTGTCTGAGTTTCTACAGCTCCCAGGAAGTGCAGTCTGCAAGCCGGCTAGGTGACTGACTGGATCCCCGGTTTGGCTTGATCCTGACACGTCTTGTTCTGTTCCCTTCCTCCCCGGAGGACTGAGCCCCTCCTGGATCCTCAGGGCTGGGTGCTTGCCCCAGGTCTCCCTGTTATGCCGCCACATAAGTGCCACAAGGTCGCGCCTCCCTCTGTAGAGTTAACACCGTTGAGCTCCGTTAGCAGAGCGGTAAGAGGACGAGCTAGAAATTCAGACAGGAGCCGACAACCTGAGGTTTGGGACCAGATGTTTCAGAACGACCAATCCTGCAGTCCCCAGGGTTTGGAAGAACGACTACAGTTCTCAGTGTTACCCCAACCTGCTCAACCACCGACCCTGCTGGCTACTCTTTTGGAGAGGGATGCTCAAAAAAAATAAAGTGTTTTTTTACAAATTCCAACCAATGCTTAACAGTTGGCTTTGCCGGCGGGCCTTTACGAGAGACATATCCCAAAATATCCAGAAGGTAATAACAGTTTGCTTCCTTCTCAACTCCGTAGAGTCCTAGTTGAAATCTCACCCACAGAAGCAAGCCCTAAAGGCAACATCAACTCCTGTGTGTGTGTGGTGCGTTGGCCATGCTTCAGCTTTCATGTCTTCTGCTTTTCTGCTTTGATCTCTTGAGGGCCCAGCATGGCCTGGACCAGACATACGACCTCCAGCCTGTTTCCACTGTGAAGCTGAGGTGCTCTTTGCTGGCAGAAGAGGTTAGGCTTGCTGTCTCAGACAGGAGCGCTGCTGTCTCCTTGAGCCCCAAGCTTCCCGCCACCGTCTGGCTGGGAAGGGTGCTGAGGTGCGACAGGCTTGCAAGCCCCAGCCTGAGCCGTCTCCTTGGCTCAGGCTCATCTGCCTTGCTGGAGGGCCTCGGGTTCCACAAGTCGCCTGGAAGGAGCCCAGCGCCCCTCCCTGGCGTGCTGCTAAACCTTCCACATGAGACAGAGGTGTCTTACCGAGAGCCCCGCGCCACCTGGAACACACCCAGTCTCGTCGGAGTTCAGAAGCTAAGCAGGGCCAGGCCTGGTTAATGTTTGGAATAGAGACCGCCATGGAGTGCTTGGCATCTCCGAGGTGGGCTAGGGAAGAATCCTGTGTGCAGTTCCAGAGAGCTGCTGCCAGCCAGAGTTTGCAGTGCTAGTCTAATTGAACCAATGCTCTGGCTCAGTGTAAAGGCAAAACCAACAGCTTTGTAGCAAGTTTTATTTGCCATTGGCAAGCTTTTGATGATTGTGACCCATTTTCCCCCAATGTATGGGGTGTAGCCTTAGCAGACAAATATTTACAGAACCTGGAGAGGGAGGGAGGGTGAAATGGAAAGAAATCATTTTCATGCTTATGCTACTCTTCCTCCTGCTGCCCAGTCAGTAGGTAACATGCCAACTGGAGGTGCATTCAGGGGTCCAGAAATGGATGCTTCTAGCGCTAAGAACTATCCCTGCTATGTAGAAGAACTGTACAACCTAGCAATCCCTCTCCAAACACCAGTGTGGTGTTCCGTCTTTTCATTTTCAATCATCCTTTCCGTAAAACCGTGGTGCCTGAAGACTCCTGTTCCAGGAGTGCTGTAAATCTACTCTGGGTTTTAGTTTCCACTTCACAAGAGCTACCCCAAGTGTTGGACCTATTTTGGACCTTCAGCACCTTGGGCAGCTCCTGTGGAGTGCAGGCTTAAAACCTGGAATGGATTCACAGCTCCCTTGAAATTGGAGCTGGTTTTCACCATCCCAAATTCATCTCTCATCTGAAGGCTAGGTCAGTCTATCTGCATGTCCTTGCCTTCGTCATTCCTCCCTTAATTTTTCTTGCCTAGGTAACGTCACAGAGCCCGTGAGCAATTTGCAATATATAGTCCAAGCAGTGGTGTGGGTGATGGCCTAGGTGTATTTCTGGTCTGCTTCAGAAACAAGGTGGAAGATTCAAGGTGGCTGAATGCAGAAATGGGACATTTTGCATGTTTTCTTTTTTGGACTCTAGCTCTCCGGAGGCCTGGTGGACCATCCAATGGGAGCCGTGGCTGAAAAAAAAAAGCAATGTCTCCTCTCCCTGGCAGAATGTTTTTTCAGCGCGTAGGTTTCTTTGTACACATAGAGAAGGAAGAATCCGGATAAGGGTGCCATCTCCACGACATCTAGTTTTCTTCTCACAATCATGCTGAAAGTTATTTTTAACAGAGAAATGTTCATTCATGCGAGCACCTCCCTGCATTCATCTGTGTGGCAAACACGTGCGGTTTCCAAGAACCAAGCAGAAGGATGAGTGTTGGAGCCCCATGAGTTTAGTGTCTAATTCAGAGCTGAAATGTGGCTTTGGTATCTTTAGAGGGCCGTTAGCAATGCTGTGGACAGTAGCGCGTGGCACAGAGGGTGGGGAGTCTCATCCGATACCTGTTCTTCGGTTACAGCGAAGGAGACGGCTGATAGCTCTGCTCTGTGTCCCTGAGACAAACCAGGAGGTCCATCTTCCCCTTGTGAACCTTTTGCTCCCATTCCATTAACTGAGGCGGAGGAGAGGGGTCGGGTCGGGAAGAGCATGTGGGTTCCCTACAAAACGCCATTTCCCATGAAAGTCAAAGGCCTGCAGCCGCCACTAACCACGCGTTCCTCTCTTCCTTCCTATACAGTTGCAACAGCTGAGCTGTCTCCTCCCTCTGATGAAGCCCAACTCTTTGAAGCGATTCCTGCTGTGCGAATGGGGGCTTCAGAAGCCTCCTGGGGAAAACCATCAGGAAGCACCACCCACTGAACCAGACCTGGAGGTGAGAAAGATGTTAGAGGCTAGGAAGGTTTCTATCCATCCAGTAGAAGTGGTGTCGTGGAGCCAGAGTTCCCAGGGTTGTAGCACTAGGCTTTTTGATGAACGGAGACCATGGCATCGTTTGCCATCCCCTCCAGACCTTCCTCCCTCCTCTGAGCTAGATTTAGTTCTTACGAAGCGAGTTGCCCCCCCCCCACAACAATAAGTTGTCAATAGGCAGAGTCTGGCAGTACTTTTCTTGAGCCACCACGATATTGGGGTGGGTGGGAAAAGAGGATGGAGAGCAAAATAGGTGGGGGGGATTTATGCTTTTTGTCATGCAAAGTGTTTGGGATGAGCTTGGTCTGGAATAGAATATTAATGATCATTCGTTTTACAAAAGATCCACCCCTGTTGAAGAGGAAAACAATTGCTGCTAGTATTGGTTTGCCCCTGGTGAATTTTTAGTCACACAAATGTTGATGGTAAAAGAAGAAGCTTTCAGCACCCGGTGAAAAACTTTCTTTCTTTCTTTTCTTTACCTTCCCCCCCTTGCATACTGCTTGCTGCTTTCATGATTTTTAAGAAACAGGAGATTCTCCCCAAACTAACTCAAACCAATCAGGGAACACACAGGGAGCATCACACAACCAACCAAACATTCTTCTCACTTGGAATTGACTTTCTGGTGCCTTATCACCCATCAGTTTTGCTTGGGGAGCTATATCATGGAGGTTCTACGACCTGGAAATTTTATTTGCTGATGGCAGGTTCCTGATATTCCGCCAGCCAGCTTGTTTAGTACCCGTAACTATCAGAGGGGGATTTGGGGAATTTTACTTTAAAAGAAAAAGAAACTAAGAATTCTTGGGGCACGTTTAAGAATAAGAGAAGGGCCCTTGTTTTCTTTCTGTTTCACTAAAAAAAAACACCAACACTAACACAGCTACCTCTGTCTGTGTAACTTCTCATAGCTCTGCACACACACACACACACACACACACACACACACACACACAAAATAATGTGACGGCACTGCTTTGAGTTGGCTATTCAATCAAATTTCAATAGTCTCCTGACAATTCATCGAAAGAGAGATGCTTATTGGGAGAAGCTCTGTGTGTGTGAGGGTGTGAAATGCATCCCCTTCTCTGTTTCAGGAAACAAAAGCCTGCTCCAGTGGGTTTGACTAGCCCCCATTAGCCTGGCTCCTCCATCACATGTTTTGCCAAGCTTATCGAGAAAGGCCAGGGCTGTTCTAGGGTGGATGGGGTGGAGACTCATCCAGCTGTGAGAGGCTTGTTGTTTTTACAGGCTTACAAATGATCCTTTTCTTTCTCGCCAGCATCAGACATTTGTAGTGCCCGTCCACGTGGCTTGGGAGCCCGGGGACTCTGGCAGGAGGCATCAAAGGAGGGAAAGGATGGGATCAGAGGAGTCGGAGAAAGTGCCTTTTTATTGCCAACCACTGGGGCTTGTTTGCAAAAGGAAGCGGGGAAAGAAGGGAACAGAGCAGCTCTTTAATGTATGGCTTTAATTGCAAGCTGAAGGCCGAAGGGAAACCAGGAGGAAGCATTCTAAGGCTTCCAGCTTAGACCAATTGCAGGAAGATGAGCGGTCAAAGGGAAACATAGGGAAGGGGAGCAGCCAGTATCGCGGTGGGAAAAGTTATCCCTTTTTTTTCCCTTTCTGTTTTGGGTTACCACTTGCAGAATACCCCAGCTAGCCCTGGCAGGCAGTGGCTGTGGTAAGCAGGGGGTCCTGGGAGATGTAGGCCAACAAAGGAACGTCCCCCATCTTGCGCAGACACATGATTTGTGATGCATTTGGGGGCACCTACATACTAAGGACCATTGCATTTAATTGCATTCACACATAACTTTTTATGCAGAATGGAGACGTGTTGAATCGAATCCCATGCCATCTTGCACATGAAGCGTTCACTCTGTGGTTTCTGCAATTCCCAAGGAAGTGATTTATTCTCATTTCCCCTTTCTTTCCTCTGTAGCCCAACTGAAGGCTGAGAGCCTATCATGTCTTCTCCTTCATCTTACTAATCCTGTCTCCCAAAGACTTCATTAATTGATCTCTGGTGTATACCCACCTCACTGAGGTTTTTGGGTTTTTTTTGCTGAAGCTCCAGGCACTTTTATACCAAAACAAGACATTGCTACATGATGTGTTGGTTTTAAATGTGGGATCCTCCTTCCCTTTCTTAAAAACTTTGCAAATACATTTCATGAATGTTGAAAGTGCTTTTTGAAAATTCCTCTGCCACCCCCACCCCTCCCAACTTTCTGTAGGTCTCGCTTCACGTCCTTTCAAGGAAAAATAATCTCAGTTTATTGAGAGAGGGTTTTTGGCTGCGCAAAGATCCCTAAACCCAGAGCATGCTGACAGTTGACAAATCATTCCTCGTGTGTAAATTGTTCCATAACCTCACACTGAATGTCAGCAGTTCCATGGCCCAGCCTGCAACAGAGGAACGGGGCAGGGGCAGAAGGGTTTGGGAGGGAGGTGTGTGCCAGATGCAGTGGCGGGCAAGGGGGTGGTTGTGCTGCGAGACACACAGACAAGCGTGTGCAAACCTACAGCTTTGAAACCTCCTACAGCGACTAGAATGAGCAGCCATGTTGGCTGAAGGACCCTGGAAGCAATAGTCTGGAAAAAGTAAAATTTGCAAACTTTGCACGTCTAAGAGGGTTCTTGTTTTTTCTCCCTGGGAACACCCAGTTTTTGTTGTTATTGTTGCTTGTCTGCCTCTTTAATTGGAGGCACCTAAACCTTGAAGGATGCGGGTGGCGCTGCAGGTTAAACGGCTGAGCCACTGGGCTTGCCCGTTGGAAAGTCAGCCACTTGAATCCACACTACGGGGTGAGTGCCCGTGGCTTGCCCCAGCTCCTGCCCACCTAGCCATTCGAAAGCATGCCAGGGTGAGTTGCGGAATAGGTACCACCACCTCGGTGGGAAGGTCATGGCATTCCATGTCAAGTCATGCCGGCTGCGTGACCACGGAGAGTGTCTACGGAGAAACGCCAGCTCTTCAGTCTGGTCCAGTAACCCGCATGTATTTCTCGTTGGTGCTTCTCTGCAGATCCTGAAGAGATCAGAGCACTGGGTCCGTGACGTGAGGTTGGAGGAAGGGAATCTGATGGAACTAGCAGCTGAGGAGAGAGAGCGCCTTTTCTGAGCTCCAGCAGTTGTTTTTCCGACTCTGGGAAGCTCATCATTTCGTCCTACCTCGGCAGCAGCCCTGGCATGCATTCAAAGCCCAAAGAGTCCCTGCCTTGGATTCGCCGGAGGACAGCTGTGGGATTGGGCCCTGGGCCTTTGCAGGTTGAAGAGGGCTGGAGTGCAGAATGCTTCTTGGCTGCAGCCCGATAGCTCAAGGACAGCCGTTCCTGGGGCTGATGTTTTAGATTCGCTTTAGCAAAAGAAAGGCTTTTTACCGTGAGAGTCCCTTGCAGAACGGGAGTCAGGTTTCAGTTTGCACGAGAGAAGATCTAAGATGGTCTCCAGATGAGCCGTTTGGACTTCCGTAAGAGATTAGAGGGTGACTATCCTGCTTTGGAACTGTCGGGGCTGATTCAAAACAAAGGAAATATGGTAGGCAATGAAAATGATTCATCTCCAGCTGGGATTTCCAACCTCCCCACTCCATATGCTTCAGAGGCATGCAGTCGATCCCCTGATTCAACTTGCAGAAGATCTCACCGAATAGGTTTTCCATCCGTCGGAAGTGGACCTTCTGCTCTCAGCGGCTCCTCCCTTTGAGTAGCCAGAGCGGAGGAAAATCCATGCAGCTTTTTCTCAGGATTCAGAATTCCCCTGTCCCAGATGTCAGAAGTTGGAGGAGTTAAGCTGCCTTAAGTCCTTTAAAACAGAAAGGTGGGGGTCACAGATATTTCAAATAAATGAAATAAATAAGACTTTGCCTGGGCTCTCAGAGTCCTCCTGGCAGCGTCGGCACACAGAGGTTGTCTCTGATTGTTGTGGTGAGGAAAGGTTCTAGCAAGATCCGAAATGGGAGAGGGCACCTGTCGTTTTCAGAGTGGATTGTGGCTCAGAGCGGAGCAGGCGTGCTTGGCTCTCCTGAACATGTCCTGAAACCATCCTTTCTGTCAGGCCTCCTGGGAAAGCCACTTCCGCTTTAGGTGTGAGGTGGATGAGGAGAAAATGCCAGCTTTCACTGGAAGAAAAACAGGGGGGTTCCACCCACCCACTGTTTTAATTTGTGTGGAAATAATCTTTGCCTCTCGTGGCCTTAGTCTCATGAAGCCTTGGCGGCTGTAAATTCCGCCACAGAACTGAAATGAGATTATTTGTTTCTTAATGGAAGAACCTCAGCAGAGTCGCATGTCTATGGGTGCAAATGGACTTCGCCCTCCAAGGAGGGGGGAGAACCACCAGAGAAGCAGCTTGTGGAGAGCAGGGTAGTGAACCCCGTACTGCTCAGAAAAATGACCTTTCCAATGAGGACTTCCAGGATTCCCCAGCCAGCATGGGGCACAGGCTTTGTGTGTGTGTTTTTTTTTTAGCTCAAAGCGTAGTCAAAGCTATGGTTTTTCCAGTAGCAAAGTATGGAAGTGAGAGCTGGACCATAAAGAAGACTGAATTTTGAATTTTGAATTGTGGTGCTGGAGGAGACTCTTGGGAGTCCCCTGGACTGCAAGGAGAACAAGCCTATCCGTTCTGAAGGAAATCAACCCCGAGTGCTCCCTCAAGGACAGATCCTGAAGCTGAGGCTCCAAGACTTTGGCCATCTCATGAGAAGAGAAGACTCCTTGGAAAAGACTTTGACGTTGGGAAAGTGTGAAGGCAAGAGGAGAAGGGGAAGATAGAGGATGAGATGGTTGGACAGGGTCATCGAAGCGACCAACATGAATTTGACCCAACTCCAGGAGGTAGTGGAAGACAGGAGGGCCTGGCGTGCTCTGGTCCATGGGGTCACGAAGAGTCAGACACAACTAAACAACAACAAACAATGTCCAGAAATTTCTGCACCTGCACACTGGGAGAAGA